AGCGACGAGCCCGCGGACTTCTCGCTCAGGGTCTTCGCTGGCGACGTCGACGAGACCCGCCGCGCCCTCGCCCCCCTCCGCGCCAGCGAGACCGCCCAGTATCCGGACAGGCAACTGGGCACCGCGCAGAGCCGAGGCAAGAAGCAGGTCTTGCTGCGCTACGTCGGCCCTGGCGCCAACACGCCCAACAAGCGCATGTTCCACGACGTGATGGGCGGCGACGCCCCAGGGCAGGTCGTGCAGGGGGGGCCCTGTTTGGGCGCCGTCTTCACGCGCAACGGGCTCAACTGGGCGGATGTCGGGGCAGGGTTCGCAGCCGCGCGCCGAGGATGGCACTGCGTGGAGAAGTTCTGGGCGGAGTGCAATCAGTGGAAAATCAAGAAGATCGCCTTCGGGAGCATGGTCATAGGAGCTGCTACCTCGCGATTAACTGCGCTCGCCCTCACGGACGCGCAGACGGACAAGCTTGACAGACAGTGCTTGTAGTTCGCGCGGGTACTCTTGGGAGGCGTCGCTGCCCGCGCCCCTGTTGACGATGGGAACGGAGGCGCGCGAGAAGTAGTCCGCGCGCTACCTGGGTCGCAGATCTGGTCACGACTGGGGGCGGCACCGACAGCAGTGGAACTGCGAGCGCAGCGACTTAAATGACGGCAAGCCGTGGCGAGGCGATTTGAATGGCACAAGCAACGATTGGCAGAGGTCATCGGCGACCTGGAGATGGAGCCCCCCGCGGGAATTTGCAAGCATTTCGCGCCGGTCTGCGGCGATGGCACCGCCGAGCACGGCGGCGCCCAACCCGCGGGCGCGCCAGTTCTACGAGGACATCGAGCACATGAAGGAGACCGAGGAGGGCGAGAAGGTGGTGGACCTACTGGAGGGCGCCTGCATCCGCATTTTCGACCATGAGTGCGGCGCCAACGCGGCCTTCATCCTGCTGGACGTCCGCCAGTTCCGCGGGAAGTGGCTCGCGCGTGCGAGGGGCCGCGAGCTGACCGCCATGGCGTCAGAGGAGGCCGAGCGGGCCGACGGCGACTACGAGTGCCGCCGCATGGACGTGGGCGGGCGGCCGCGCGAAAAAACGCGCCATGGCAAACCGTGCCCTTCTCGCCCATCAGCGCCAGTCAGAGGGGTGGCTGCACGGGGGGAGGAAGACGACGGAGATCTTGTTGATGACGAACCAATGCCTCGCATGTCGCTCGACATTCAAAGATCGACTGGCAGCAGTTCACCACCTGCAACGTGCATATCAGCGCGGGCGGCACCGCGTCGACACCACGCCCTTCAATCGCCGCCTCCTCGAAACGACGACGAGACAGTGCCCATTGTGCTTTTCTAGAGGGCCATTTTGACGGCTCGAGGAGCTCCAGGCGCAATGTGCAACGCACCTGCCCCGACCTCCACCAGAGTTTCGGTGGGGCTTGCCTCTGCCGCGCCTACTGCGTCATGGCGGGCATGTTCGGCATGGCGCCAGCGGGCGCGGCGGGCCCCGCGGAGGCGGAGAGGCGCCAACAGGGCGCTGACGGCAGCGCGGAAACCGAGACGGACCAGCAGCTGGCAGGGGCAAGGCGCGAGGACGCAACCAGAACCACCGCGCGGCGCCGCAGGAGGAGCTCGACAGCCTCGAGAAGATGGGCGCGGGGTAGTTGCGCACCCGGGCCCCTGCGCTGACCAAGATGGCTCTCGACCTAGCGATGCGCATTTGGCAGGTGGAGGCGGCGACGCTCGTGGAGATGATCATCGGGGCCAACAGTTTGCCGGTGGCGCGCGCGAGGGCCAGGGTCAAGGCGTGGATCGAGCAGGCGCAGGAGATGAGGCTCAGGAAGAAGGAGGGCGAGATCGAGACGAAGCTCAGCACGATCTCGCGCGCGGCGCTGGCCGGCATCTTCGAGGGCTGCGACGAGGCAGGGGTCGAGGTCGGCCGCGAGAACATGGGGGACCTGGCTACGCTGAAGACAATCGGAGACATGCCGTCACGCGTGGCGGTGGACATGCTTTCGCTTGTGAAGGTGCAGATGACGTTCCAAGAGTCGGACTCGAAGTTGACGATCGCGAAGGTGCCCGAGCTTGGACTGCTCTTCGCTCTTCGCCTGCTTGGAGCAGCTCGGCGGAGCGCTGAAACAGGGAGCTGCGCCGATGAGCCACCTCGAGAGGATCCTCAACGCGTACCTGGACGGTGCGTGATGGGCTCGGGCCGGAAGGGAATTCGAAGACCAGTTTTGGCGGGCCGGAAAGAAATTCGAATACCAGTTTTTTACTGGTTGGAAGGAGCCTGGCGTCGGGCCGGAAGGAAATTCGAAGACCAGTTTTGGCGGGGGCAAGGAAGTTCTGGGTCGCCACGATGACACTGCACCGAGGGAGGCACCAACGCATGTGACCTTTCTTGATGGGGAATCGAGAGTGCGAGCTGCTGCCGCAGTGGACGGTCGTGACGCAGACAGAGTACCAGATGCAGCCGACCAGCTTCCTGACCAGGCCCGAGCGCGCACACCCAGCGTCTTGAGCGCCAGCTGCTGCGGATCACGACTGCGATGGCCGTGGAGCATACACTGAACAGGGTTTGAGCAGGCTGTCCGCCTCTGCCGCAGGTCCCAGGCCTGCGCAGCCTAACCCACCTCCGCCTCCGACGAGCCTCCACCTCCCCCCGAATCGGCTTGGACGTTGCGAGACTAAGAAGCGCCCCCCCACCGATCCTGATGAAATCCAGGGACATGTTCGGAATCTCGGGTGGGGGGGCGCGCTGAGCAATTCGATTTTAAATCTGTTCTCGGTCAAACGCCCTCGTGACAAATGACAGTGGGAGTGGCCACACCTCCCTGCTGCTGCTGTGCCGCGCGCTCTTGCTGGCTCCCTTCCTCTCGCTTTCCCTCTCGCTTTCGCTGGGGCTCCTCCGCTGTGCTGCCTGCGTGCTGGCTCTTGTCTCCCTGGTTTCTCCCTCTTCCCCTCGTGTTGCGGGGGGTCGTGGTCGGCAGGTCTGGGTTCCGAAACCAGGGAACCGATGGGTGGGCCGGCGGTTCAAAATCTCGGCCGTAGGTCGTTCTTAGGGTGGCTTCAGATCGGTTCAGAAGACTCGCCCCGAGAGGAGTAGTAGTAGTAGTAGTAGTAGTAGTAGTAGTAGTAGTAGTAGTAGTAGTAGTAGTAGTAGTAGTAGTAGTAGTAGTAGTAGTAGTAGTAGTAGTAGTAGTAGTAGTAGTAGTAGTAGTAGTAGTAGTAGTAGTAGTAGTAGTAGTAGTAGTAGTAGTAGTAGTAGTAGTAGTAGTAGTAGTAGTAGTAGTAGTAGTAGTAGTAGTAGTAGTAGTAGTAGTAGTAGTAGTAGTAGTAGTAGTAGTAGTAGTAGTAGTAGTAGTAGTAGTAGTAGTAGTAGTAGTAGTAGTAGTAGTAGTAGTAGTAGTAGTAGTAGTAGTAGTAGTAGTAGTAGTAGTAGTAGTAGTAGTAGTAGTAGTAGTAGTAGTAGTAGTAGTAGTAGTAGTAGTAGTAGTAGTAGTAGTAGTAGTAGTAGTAGTAGTAGTAGTAGTAGTAGTAGTCCTCCTCCTCCTCCTCCTCCTCCTCCTCCTCCTCCTCCTCCTCCTCCTCCTCCTCCTCCTCCTCCTCCTCCTCCTCCTCCTCCTCTTCCTTCATCCTCAGGAGGACAATCAGCAGCTTCCTGCGGCGGCCGGGGGCGCACGGTAGCCGTGGGACTCGGGCAGCCAAGAGTGAGAGGACAGAGAAAGAGCGAGGTCCAAAGCTTGCCCCCCTGGGCGCAGGGGTCAGGAGCCCATTGGGGGCAGCGGACGGAAGGATCAGGTCCTCGGGTGTCTGTCGCACGAGGATCGAGGAGTTCTGGGTGATCGAGGCCTCAGCGCCTCTGGGAGGGCGACGGGGAGGCGGAGGGGAGTGGCCCAGCCCCCAGCTTGGTTGTCGTCTTCGTCTCCAGTTGGTCGCAGTCTGGAACCTCTCTGGGGGCCTCGCGGCTCGGAGGGATCCCGCCAACAGACCAAGTCTGCCGCGTCTTCGTGGAGAGCAAGCGAGCGGACAGCGCGCCGCGGCATGTTCAGGGATCAGTGGGAGCCGTGCTCGTACATCTCCGACGGCGTGAATGGTCTTCTGATACTGGCTGCAGCGATCCCGCCGTTCCCTGGGAACTGATGCTTCCTCCGATTTATCTGCCAGCAAGCGGCGCCAGACGCCGCCGAGGGCTCCAGTTGACTCCCGTCGCGATCCGCTCGCGACGTTTGTCCTCTTCCTCCAGGCCTCCCAGATGGGGTCCGATTCGATGGGGTCGGAGGCTCGAGCCACATCGCCTGTGTATCGGCAGTGCATCTGCGATGCATCGTCGACGCGTCAGCTACGCCAGCGATGCATCGGCGATGCGGTGCGATGTGGTGCGAACCTCCGACCCCATCAGCTCGGACCCCATCTGGGAGGCCCCTACTTCCGCGCCCTCTCCTCGGGGCAGCTGCCGGACACGCTCTGACCCGCACTCCTGCAGCGCTCTGGGCGCCCCCGGCCGGCCCGACCAAGGCCAAGGACGGCACTGTCAGTATCAAATTAATATCGGGCCACAGGCACTGCAGCGCGGCCGAGCAATCACGGGGTTTAGCCAGTCCCTTCCGGCTGACCGGCTGAAACCCGAGTCGAGAGTTTCTTCGTGGCCGGACCAGGCTCGCGACTTACCTGGCAGCATGCCAGCCCGTGCCCGCAGAGTCCTCCAACCTCCTCGTCCTCCTCCTTCCTCCCCACCGTCCAGGCACCTCCTGGAGCTTCGATCCTGGCACCTCCTCGATCCTCAGGAGGGCGTGGTGCACCCCCTAGATGGTGTTGTCCCCCCTTGGCAACAGCAGCTGCGTGGGAGATGCTTGGGGGCAGCTTTGCCAACTGATACCCTGATGCTCATGTCAAGCGTGTGCCGATGTCGTGTCACACTGGTGCCACGGCGCGCGCCTGCAGCGCCCCCGTGGGGCGCGCACTTGCAGGTCCGAGTGGCAGGGCCCGACGCGCGCGCGGCCGCTCGCCGCCCGCGGCAGGCCTCGACGTGGAGCTCTTCGAGGCGGTCGCCGCGCTTCGCGGCAGCCGCTCCGCCCAGCCGGGCGCGCTCCCGGGCCCCCCGCTTGGCGGGGGTCGGGGACGCCGTCGGTCCGCCCTCGTCGGCGGCGAGCCAGTGTTGAGTCGGGCCTGTCCCTCTACAGGGGGAATATTATTCAAAGATAGTATATCAATAGTCTGGGGACGTTTTTTCAAGTATGTTTGACCATGTTGGTTTATTTGTTGATTATTGCGAAGGCCTTACGGCCGATGCCGCCGACCCTGTAGGCAGCGACGACGAAGACAATATAGGTAGAGGAGTCCAAGATGCCCTCAGATGGCTCGAAGACGGCGCCAGATGCCTGCAAGGTCGTCCGAAGACAGCTCAAGAGGCCTCCTCCAGGGTTCGGGAACGGCTCCAGAGAGCCAGAGAGTGCCAAGATAGGCAAAGAGCGCCCTCAAGTGGCCCGAGAGGGTTCCAAGACGGCGTCAATCAAGGTCCAAAAGCGCCCGCAGAGGCTGTCAAGAGTGCCGCCAGAGGCTGGCAAGAGAGTCTAAAAATGGCGAAAGGTCTCCAAGGAGCCTTAATATAGGCTGAAAGGGATCGCAGACGGCCCTGGAGGGCCAACGGAGCCCCAGGACGCAGGAGGATGAGAGGCGGGGGGCTGCGTGTCCGAGGGGGCGGGGCGCCCCGGGACCCCCCCCCCGGCGGGGAAGGGATCAAGGGAAGGGGCTTCCTTCCCTTCGACTGAAGGACGACGTTGTTCAATTTTTCTGTGGACTCGTGTGGGTGTGTGGGGAGCCCTCGGAAAGCAGAAGAGGCGACGACGCTGTGGGGAAGACGGAAAAGCCTCTCCCACACGCCGACAGGGTCGGCGGATTTTCAATTTTTCGTCCAAAATCCGCCTGTAGGGGGACGTGCCCGACTTAAGCCAGGGGGGTGGGGGGCGGCCTCGGAGGGCCGGGCCCCTCTTGGCCGCGACCCCGCGGGCGCGAAGGCGCCTTTTTTTGCGCGGAGGGCCCGCGCAGAAGTCGGAGGAGCGGGAGGTCGTGAAACGTCAAGACATGTCTAGGTGATCGTTTCTGTATTCGTTGTTTTTCGGATCGGCGCGGGCCCTCGCACCTCCCTTCCCCTCCAAGTGGAGTGGATCTTGGTTTTTTTTGGCGCCTGTTTCGAGCAGGTGAAGCCTCCCCCACAGAGCCAGACCCCCCCCCTCTCCCCCCCCCCCTTCCGCCCAATGTCGAAACGCCCGCTAAAAAAACGATCACTAGGGAGGCCTCGGGGGGGTGCCCGTGCCCACTGCAGCACAGGTCTGCGGTGACTGCAGCGCCGCGCCCCAGGCCTACTGCAGCTCCAGAGTGCGTTGACCGCGGGCAGTGCTTGCAGAACGGGTGCAAGAGGTGCACAGACGTTGTCGCAGTTTGATCCTAATTCGACGCATCACGAGGCCACGGGTCTCCAGAGGCCACATCATACAAGGCTTTGGCACAACTTTGTTTAGATTGGTTGTGGCCTTTGTGTGTGTTTAACGCGTTTGTTGTTTAACATATTGTTGTGTGGTGCGCGTTTCGTTTTCTTTATGGTTTCGTTTTGGTTTGGTTGCTTACCGTATCTCATATTGTTTGCTCCGTTAGCTAGAGCCCCAGGCCCTAGTTGTCTGCTCGAATTAGTTGTTCGTTTCGTGGGTCAGTTGTTTTTGCAAAAGCCTCAAACGGGACCTCGCCTCTCGACCTAGTCCTGGCCCTGAAGCCCGGTCTGCCAAGTTTGCTTTGTGTTTCGCGTTGTTTTCTGAATGGCGGCCTCGTTTCGGTGATTCGTTTTCGAAGTCCGCCCAGATTGTTCTCAGCGTTAGTTTTAAACGTTCGGTTTCGTTGTGTGTGTGCTCGTCCTGCACGCCAACGCGTTTGAAACATCGTTGTCTTGGGCCAGGCGATTATGTTCATGTTCATTGTTTTGCCGATCGGCGCGGGCCCTCCCACCCCCACCCTCCCCTCCATGGAGTAGATCTTGGCTATTGTTTGCGCCTGTTTCAAGCAGGTGGGGTAAGCAAAGGGGGCCCCGCCTCCCCATCATATGATTCCCAATGGGAGCACTGTTCCGAACAGTCGCACTGACCAGAGGTCTGGAGCCAGACCCCCCCCTCGCCCCCCCTTCGTCCAATGTCGAAACGCCGAGTAAGAAAAGTTCACCATGATATCATGTTCTATATCCATGGCCTCGCGGTCTGGACGTCTCGGCCACGGCCCCATGCATGGATTCAGCGCGGCTTTTGCGCGGCTGCCCCGCGCGGAAAGTAACCCCTTGCATATCCGCGGGACATCGCGCCCCAGAATCCAGACCGCGAGGGCGTGGACATTGATGTGTTCGTCACTCGTGGCTCGCGTCGCCCTTGATCCCACGCCCCGCCCTCCTCCCTCCTCTCGTCCTCCTCCCTTCTCCTCCGACGCTGCCGCCTCCTCCGACCGCGAGGGCGCAGATACGGATACCTTCTCTGCTCGTGGCGATTCGGCGGCGCGCCCGAGGGGAAGTGAGGGGGGGCTGGTCTTCTGAGAAGGCTCGGAAGGCCTCGGGCCCACTGAGAGGTGCTCCGAACACAGAGCCAGCTTCTCAGAAGGCGCGAGGGCTTCTGAGAAGCCCCGTCGCAAGGCAGATGCGGGCCCCGCTCGTCGACACGGCTGGACGCGGGTCGAACAATTGATCAGTTTCGACCCGGAGATTCGTGCCCGGGGACCGCTCTTGAGCGGATTTGCGTTTGCCCCCCTCCCTTGATGGAGTTTCTTTGGGCTCATCCTGCGCAGACCCCTGGGTCGCTTCCAACCCGAGGTCCTTCGTCGTTTCGGGTCTCCTTGGGCTCTCCACGGACCCCGCGGCTGTCAAAGAGCAGCTCAGGATTGCAAATTGGTACGGGGGAAGGCCCCGGGATCCAGAACCCTCTTCCTTCATGCCACAGGTCTGCGCGCAGCCAATCAAACTCGGGAAGGGCAGTTTTTCATAACTTTCTTGGGCGCCGTCAAGGCACGGCTCGGAATAGAGAGTGGGTCCGGCGGTGTGTTGGTGGTCGAGGAGGAGGAGTGCTCCCCCAAGGGTCGATCGTGGCTCCGACGGCGGGCAGGACGGCCGCGCCCATGGCCACCCATCACAGCTAATGTTATCTCCCCTTCCCCCGTTCTCGGGAGCGAGAGAAGGACGTGCACGTACATGACTCCACGCTGGCTTCGAGAGCACGCATTGCGCAAATGTTCGCATCACGCGGCCGGTCTCGCGGATCGAGGGGCCGTGTTCATGTACACAGTTTGGCGCGTACGTCTTTTGTGGGCTCCCCAGCGTTCCTGCTCCGATGCGTCGTCTTCCCTCCTGGTCGACGCCGCCCTCCGTGTTCTGGCCCTCCTGCGCTCGGGCGCCCTGCTCCCTCCCGCCCTCCTCATCGTCCTGCTCCCTGTCCTCTCCACTTTGGGGCCCAACCTCTCGTCCTCCTCGTCGTGCTCGTCCTCCTCGTCCTCCTCCCCCTCCTCTGCTTCGTCCTCCTCCTCGTCCCTCGTCCTCCTCCTCGTCCCTCCTCCTCCTCGTCCTCCCCCTCCTCGTCCCCCTCGTCCTCCTGCACTCCGCCCTCCGCGTCGTCGTCCGCTCCAAGCCCGTGGGGCCCCCCGAACTGGGGCGTCCCAGGCCCCCTCGGGTCAGCCCTCGGGTCAAAGGGAGAATCACGAGGGGAGGTTTTTCGTTGTGCGTGGCCCCTGGGGGGCCTTGCTGGGCCTCAGGGGCCGTCAAAACACGACTAAGGAAAGAATCAAGAAGGGAGGTTTTGCCGTGACCTCTGGGGGCCCGTGCCAGGCTTGGGGACCGTCAAACAACGATATGGGATGAAGAATTGGTCAAAGGAATAATCACGACGGAAAGTTTTTCTTTTGTTTCGCGGCCTCTGGGGGGCCCTTGCCGGGCCTGGGGACCGTCAAAAGCAAGATTCAGGATGATGAACCCGTCCTGGGGAATGGGTCGAGACTCGGGGCTCAAGAGACGGGGGTCAATGCAAACGGAGTCAGCCAGGGCACCGGATTCTGCAGGCAGGATCCTGCGAAGACCCCCTCTGGTTGACCCGGGTTAGCGAGCCGCTCTTGGCCGCGAGGCGGCCGCGCATGTTGGTTGACCCGGGTTTGCGAAGACCTGCGTTGCAGTTTTTTCCCTGCATTGCAGTTGTTTGGATTTCTGCTGACCCGGGTCTGGATTGACCCGGGTCAGAAGATCCCCGAGAGACCTGATGGGGGGTCGACGCTGTGGAAGATCATGAGGTCGGAGGTCTGAGCGCCAAGGTCCACAGACCATGCGGCGACGGACCGCGTGGCGAGGTCCCTTGAGATCTCGAGGTTGCCGCACGGCCTGTCACCGCACCGCTTGGGGACCCCCAGCATGCGCGCCCTCCGGCACCTGCTCCACATCCTGGTTTCGCCGCCCTCCTCCCTCCTACCTCCTCCCTCCCTCAGCGCCAGCTGGCACGAGCCGCCGCTCTGCGCCAGCCAGCGCCATCGGCGCTTCCCCGCGCCGCCTCCCCGCTCTCCCCTGCTCCCGTCCCCTCGGCCGCGCTATGGAGGCGCCTCCCGCGGCCACCGCAAGCCGCCGCAGGCCGCCGCGGAAGGCTGCCGCGCGTCGCGCGCAGTACACGAGGGCCGAGGCGCGCGCGTCAGAACACCTTCTGCGCGCCTTCGCAGCCCTCACCAGCCATCGTGGCCGCCAGCCATCGCAGCTGGCCCAGGCGGTGGCCTCGGCGCTGGCGGCGGCGCCAACGCCCTTTGCGCAGCCGGGCGCAGCGGCCTCTCCCTCTCCGGATGCTGTCGCTCCCGGTGCCCATGGAGGCGACGCGGCGGCTGCAGTCCCCTCGTCTCCGCTGGCAGCGGGACCAGCGGCCATGGCTGCCGAGGCGGGCTTTCCAGTCCACGGGGTTCTCGGTCAGCGGCTGGCGGCAGCGGGCGACGACGTGGTGGTCCCGGAGGGCGAGTTCACCTCCCCCTCTGCCCCCCCCTCTGCACGGCCTCCTTTTCTTCCCCGCGGCACCCCAATCCCAGGCTTTCCGCCTA